CATTTTTCTGGTCACCCGTCTCCGTTTGCCTTCTCTCTTCTATACCTGTTATTGCTGAAAAATAACTCAAAGAGGAAATCTGATGGGAGTAATTAGGATTTTGTTAATGGTAGGAGAGGTACATAGATTGAAATGCAACATTAGGATTAAAAAGAGAGTTTTTTTTCCATCTCCCTGGCTATTTCTTCAAAGGTTTTTAAAACCCTCTGCACCGAGATCCTAACTCACCGGAAATCCTAACAAATCCTAACTTATCAAAGATCCTAACAATAATTTAAATTCAAGTCTCTTAAAAATTCTCTATTAGTTGGGGATTTATTTTGGATCATGTAATCCTGATTTTTCTCCAAATTTAAAATACGGATATAAAATACCCCTATTGTTTTTTTCTCTTCTGCTCCCCAATTAATGGTTTTCCTAATTGAAATCAGTCTCGTACGGTAAGAGATCAAAATCAATTTACATTGCTCTTCTTTTTTTTCTTTTTTTTCTTTTTTTTTTCTTTTTTAATGTTCAACTGTATAGATTTTAAATTTTTGGTAGAATCATTGTAAATATTTTAGCAAAAAAAGATCAGAATGAAATCAGTAAAATAATTTGTCCATTTCCCTAGATCTATTCATTTCAGGCCCATTTTACAAAGAAAGAGATTTTAATCTATTTTACAATTAGGAATAGTTTTTTCTAAGTGGTGGAGAAAACAAAAAAAAAAAAATAGATGGGATCATCTAATTTGTGTTTTTAGGTGTAATAAATATATTTTTTTTAATTAATTTACATAAAAAAATTGTAAAAGTTAACATTTATTTTAACATCATTGACACATGAATGATTTTAGTTAGTTAATTGATTAATTTAAAGTCAACACTTACATTTTTCACACAAATCAATTGTAGTGCATTAATTACATATCTTAACCTATGTCCTAATTTATATAAAAAAAATTATAAAAGTTGAAATTTATTTTAACACTATTGGCATGTGAATGATTTTAATTGATTAATTAATTAATTTAAAATCAATATTTACATTCTTCATACAAATTAATTGTAGTGCATTAATTACACATCTTAACCTATGCTCCAAGAACATATGTTAGAAAAACTGAATTTAGATTTTAAAGCAGATGAGTAAGAGAAATAAACTATGGATTTTTTTAAGGGGTTTTATATATCTGTGCCTGAAGAACAGAGAATAAGAAACAATTATTAGTCAATAATTATTTTTTTAAGATGTGAAATTTTAAATTAAAAAAATAAGTTTTGATTTTAATTTTAAAACAAATAAATAAATAACTGACATGTGGCATTTACAATTAAAACAAAAGTTAACTTTTTTTATTTTTAAGATAAAAAATAATAATAATTATACAATTATTACTTATTAAATTATGCCCTTAGGGTATATGTTAATAGTGTAATAAATATATTTTTTTGTCATAAATTTTTGTGGGTTTGTCTAACATGCCCTTAGGGTACAAGTTAAGATTTATTAATTAATAATTAAGGTATCTTTAATTAATTTTATATAAATTTTC